TTAATGAAGATGTTGAAAAGCACTGGTTTAAGTACTGAACCCTGGGGGACCCCAATGGCTATCTTCCATCAGGTCAACGCAGATCTCCACAGCCAGTTTCCCACCCATCTGACTGTTGAATTGTTGAGCCCATAGTCCCCTAGTTTTACCTGGAGAGCCTCATGGGACATCAAGTCACAGGCCTTCCTAAAGTCCAAGTAAATGACATCAACCTCATCTCCCTTATCCAGGTGGTGAGTAACCTGGTTGTAGAAAGAGATGAGGTTAGTCAGACATGATCTACCTGCAACAAAGCTGTGCTGGCTGTCATTCAGAATTTTTCCCTCTACTACCTTATTGTAAATGGACTCCTTGAGAAATTGTTCTAGGATTTTTCCTGGAATTGAGGTCAGGCTGATCAGCCTGTAGTTCCCTGGGTCCTCTCTCCTCCCCTTCTTGAAGATGGGCACAACACTGGCCTTCTTCCAGTCTTCTGGGACATCTCCTGAGCACCACGAATTCTCAAAGAAGTTCATCAGCAGTCCTGCGATGACTTCGGCTAGTTCATTCAGCACTCCTGGATGCATTCAGCAGTGATCCCACGTTTCCACTGGTTTTCCTCCTGTTACCTACGTACCTATAGAAGGACTTCTTATTGTCCTTGATTTTGGTTGCTAACCTGAATTCAGTCACTGCCTGTGCTTTTCTAATCTGCCCCCTACAGGTGTGGGCCCACCTTATGTAGTTCTTTTTTGGGCCTATTCCTAGCTTCCGTTGTTGGTAAGCCTCCTTTTCTTTTTTCAGAAGGTCTGCAACTTCCTTATTGAGCCAAGATGGCTGCCTGGCTCCTGTACCATCTTTTTTGCATACAGGTATGGACAATTTCTGAGCACCAAGAATTGTGTCCTTGAGGAATGACCACTCTTCATCTACACTGTTTCCCTGTAGTCCATGTTCCTGTAGGACACAACTCACTAAAGTCCTTAGCTTATTGAAGTCAGCTTTTTAAAAAATAAAAATGTGTACCTTACCATGGGTGACTGGTGCCACAGTTCTCTATTATCCCTATGATATTGTAGTCCTTGCTGGAAAGCAGGAGGTCCAGTTCCTCCTGTTTGTCAAATTCAACCTATTCCATAACATGAGAGCCACTTTGAATGGGAGAGGTCATCCAACCTGCTACTGACTAGATGGCAGTGGCATCATCAAGGGTCCTTTGTGATACCCTGGAACAATCTGGAGAATCTGACTGATTTCTGATTGATATCAGATTGCTGTTAAGTCCCCCATATATGCGCATTCCTGTGATAGGTGTGAAAATGTGAGATCAGACCCTCCTCAACAAGATGGAATATTGGTCAACAGAAGGTTATTTTTTTTCTTTCTGCCAACATCGTCATTGACTTCCCTCCACCAAACCAACAGAAGTCAAATCAGCAGAAGACCTCTTCAGTTGGCATTAGCAGGAGTTTTTCTGGTATACAGACAATGGTTAGAGGGTGTGTTATAGCTGTGGTGACCATACTTAGTTGTGTGGACCAGGCCTCATAGGAAGTCTAAGCTCTAAGTAGTGTAGCGGACTGTTTCTGGATGTGGGACCCACCAAGCTCAAAAGCAGCTGACCCAGAACTGAGAGATTCCATGCTACAGAGGAAAAGGATCCTGCCTCCCCTCCTCTACCCCCTGAAGATGGTAATGAAACTGGTATTTGTGTGTTTTTTATTTTACCTAGAGCTATTTCATGCACCAGTGAAGTAAAGAGAACACACAGTTTAGGAATCCTTATAGCAGGGGGTAGCTAGTCCCCAGCATAGGCAGCCTCTCTGTGTAGCACACAGCAGGTCAGGGAGGAAGCAGGGAACAAGGCAACAGATATGGCAGGGAGAAGATAGCAGAGCAATATATCAGGCCGGGGAAGGGTACCAGAATGGCACTCAGGGAGAGTGCCAGGCTTAACTTGTCAGACAAGGTTCTTTGGGTAAATCTGATATCTTTTATTAGACCAACTCAAATAGTTGGAAAAATTCTTCTTTGCAAACTTTCAGATACAAATACCCTTCATCAGGTTGAGGAAGGATCTGCAGTTGATCTGTGTGGTGCACCTGCCAAAAAGGTTGACCACCACTGCTTTATAGGGTCCTGTGCATGTTTATTTTCAACTGGCATATGTTCTTGACAAGTGGATGACAAATACTGAACACCCACAAGGCTGACACTCTAGAAAAGGATCTACTTGGGCTACTGTGGAGCCTGGCTGGGGGTGGAGATCAAAGCGTGGGAGGGCCAGCACTGTTTCTGTGGACTCAGGGCAGCTGAGTCTTTGGCCCTGTATTCCTAAAAGAAAACAGACAAGGAGACTGGGCCCAAAGAGGAAGACAATGAAGCTGACCAAGAGAAGATGAAGAGTCCATAAGCTTATAGGACTAGAACCCAAAGATAGTAGCCTTGAGGTGTTCAGCCTATGGCCTGTGCATGGGATCTGGCTCCTGGAGTGATTAGATCCAGCCTGCAGCATGGGGGATCAGCAGCAAGCATCTCATGCCCATGCATCCCCTTCCTTGCCCTGTGTCATGCTGCTGATCCTCTCTGCAGCTGTCCCTGCTCTCTCCCTCCAACATTGGCAGCCACCCCTCCCTCTCCCTCATGCCTTCCTCCACCAGAGGGGAGAGGTGCCCCACAGTGCCCAGGCAGGCTCACTGTATGTAAAGGTTGAGCACCACTGAGCTACTGCATTTGGGTCACTGTTCTACCTGCTCCCTCCCTGATCTGCTGTGTGCAACACATAGAGAGACGTGCACCGGGGCTTGGTCATCCCTGCCTTACAGAGTCTGACAGTTTAGATTGCTCCATGCAGAAGTCTAGCAGGAACCTGCGGACAAAAGAGTTTTCTGTTGATGTAAGTTACTGTTAGTCTTAGTCTTCCCCTTAAACTTCTGGCAGGAACTTTTGGAGGGACTGGACGTATTTAAATCAGCTGGTCCTGACGATCTCCACCCCAGAGTGCTGAGGGAATTGGCAGAGGTCATTGTGGGACCCCTGGCACAGCTTTACGAGAGCTCATGGTACTCTGGTGAGGTGCCAGAGGACTGGAAAAGGGCCAGTGTGGTTCCCATTTTCAAAAAAGGGAGGAAGGAGGACCCAGGAAACTATAGGCCTGTTAGTCTTACCTCTATCCTGGGTAAGCTTGTTGAGAGAATTATCCTGGCACATGTTTGAGAGGGACCAGCAGGGGAGATCATGCTTATGGGCAACCAACATGGGTTCATTAGAGGCAGGTCCTGTCAGACCAACCTGGTGGCTTTCTATGACCAGGTCACAAAATCCTTGGATGCAGGTGTCACAGTGGACATAGTCTTTTCTGGACTTTAGGAAGGCCTTGAGCACTGTCTCTCACCCCGTTCTCATTAAAAAATTAGGTGACTGTGGCATCAATGCCTACACAGTCAAATGGGTCACTAACTGGCTGGAGGGCCGCACCCAGAGAGTGGTGGTGGACAGGTCTTATTCAACCTGGAGGAATGTGGGCAGTGGGGCTCCCCAGGGCTCTGTCCTCAGGCCTGCACTGTTCAACACCTTCATCAGCAACTTGAACAAGGGGGTAAAAAGCACCTTGTTCAAATTCGTAAATGACATTAAGACATGGGGGGAAGTGGGCATGCTAGAAGGGAGGAATAGGCTGCAATCAGACCTGGACATGTTACAGGGGTGGGCGGATGAGAACAGGATGGGTTTCAACACTGACAAGTGCA